CCTGCATCGGCAGGTGGACTCTCAACCACTGCGCCACCAGGGAAGCCCGATGTAATTTTTTTTTTAATGAAAAGAGGGTTTAGCCCTTATCTGTGTAGATTTTTAAGAGAAATATTTGAGACAAATATTCTAAGAATTCCTAGTCTAAAAAGCCTGTGACTTAAAATTTTTTGACACAGTGATATGTTTTGATCAAAGTCATAAGGTTCTGTCAATTATATGGTCATGTTTTTATTCTGTTTACAACTGAATTTCAGATTTAAAGTGAGAATGTTTTAGATAACTGATGATTATGGTAACATTTTAATATATGATATCTTAAAGAGCTGTAAAATCCTATATTGCCTCATAACATTTTTATTTTGTTTTATGAATTGCTTAATAAGTACCAACATATTTATATTATGCTACAGTTACTATATATATAATTAAATATAGAGCATTGTTTTATATTTGATTTTATAGGTAGCTACATCAAGCTGGGTGGCAGGCAGATCCAAAGGATATCATGAAGTTTCCAGGGCCGTTGGAAAACCAGAGATTGTCTTTCCTGTTGGAAAAGGCAATCTCCAGGGAAGCCCAGATGTGGAAAGTGAATGTGCCGAAAATGCCTACAAATCAGGTAGTGATTTCTCTTTTCACTGTAGACAGGTGACTTTTATTAGAACTAAGTGTACTACTATCATATGTAAAAGCATCTTGACACTGTATTGGAGAAATATGTACCATTAAATATATGCTCTATTCTTTACTTGAGAAACATCTTGTTTCATTCTGAAACAAAACAAAAATGAACTGTTTTTGTTTGTTTTGTTTTATCTGAGTTACACCTTTAGGAAGCTAGGTAAGTCCCTTCTCTTTTCTTGTAGTACAATACTTAAAATAATAAGCCTTCTTTATTTCTACATATATAGTTTGCCACAGAGGCTGAACACAGTCAAATCCTTGTCTTTGGTGATCAACAACTTTATCTTTCATGAATATGAGGAATTCACTTAAACTACTAATGTAATGTCAGTGTTGAAAGCTTATAGGGAGATAATCAGCAGCTGACCTCTCAATTACTGTTGGTTGTATGCCTTTTAGAAATTTCATATAGAGTTATTTTTTCCAAATAACTATGAAATTTGTCTATCCCAAAAGTTTACTATGTAACATGTCTTACACATCTTTTTATCCCTAGTACCTAGCATTGTGTTTGGGATAAAAAGTAGTGGCCGAGAAATTTTTGGTATGTGTAGGCAAATGACAGTATCTAAGCTCCTCCTGTGTTGGTTTAGGTTAATCTTTGCTCATAGGTTATTGATATCTGAATGCTTTTTCTAATTCCAACCTACTTTTATCTTCTTTCCCACAAGCTAAAGAAATACATGTTTTCCATTTACTGTTATCTAATTGTCATTTAGTGAATTGAAGATTAGCCTGAATGAATGCCTTTTATACTAGGAGCATTTGCATGTGCTATCACATTTAATATCTCATTTAATCCTTTGAAAAAGGCAGTAGTCCCAATTTGTTCAACACTTCAACTAGTAAGTAGTAGAGTTATAATTTTGAACATGAGGCCGTTCTCTTCCCATTATACTTTGTTTTTCATTTTTTATTTTTGTATGTTTGTGTGATTTTTAGATGACTCGGGATTCAATCATTCAGTAAATGTTTATTAAGTATCTGCCATATTCTGAAACTATTCTGATAAGCCTCAAAGCTTTATTATAGCTGCTTTTAGAACCATTTCTTTCATTTTTCTCCTACTATCTCCTTGAGTCAGCGTGCAACCAACAATGATATACTTTTATAACATGGTCTTCGAAGGTGATATTCTACCAAGATTATAGTGTATTGCTATATTATCATTTAATCTGGCCTATTTTTATAGGTATTTTAACAAATATCACTAAGATGTTAGACCAGAGAACAGAACACTCTCAGAACTTCTAAGAGGGATCTATTTAAGGTTTTGCCTTTAGTAATGTCAGGTAGAAGCCTTACTTAATTTTTGTAAAATGTGTGTGGGCTTGCTCTGGTGGGTATAGGAGATAAGATAGAGATTGGAGTAAAGAGCTATAGGGGCTTGAGGCAATTGACAGAGTAACCCCAGGGACACTTCTCTATTCTAGTTCTAATTCTTTTTTCTTCTGTGACTCTCAGGGACTGGCTTTTCTACTTCCCTTTCCAATATTGCTTCTAACCATGATTTATCTCCTTCTTGACTCCTCCTTGCATAAGAGAAACAATCTTGTCTCTAAAGTTTAGCATCTAAACCATATATGTATCTTTTCCAACTTTCCTTTTTATTTTTTTGGGAGGGGGTGCTGGTTAAAACAGAAAAATAAAATATTTTTAAGCTTCTTTCCCTCTAGTTTTCTTACTCCTACCGCTTCCTTCACCTAAACTCTACTTCAGGGTCATTCTCTCACAGTTTTCTTGTCATTTACATTATCCTATCTTGCAGTTTAGGACAGAGTGGTCATGCAAAAATATTACACACCTATCACTCCCCTTCTGTTTGCTCCCCCAGCACTCTATACTTCCTGTATGATAGCACACAATATTATAATTCTCTGATGATTTGACCAAGTTCCATTGAGGTAGAGTTGTCTTTTTTGTTTATTGGCATATAATAGGCTCACAGTAAACACTTGTTAAATGAAAGTTGATTATCATTTCTTTATAATTCACCCAGGTTGGAGAAGTTCTTTTATAGTATTTTCAAGTACACAGCAATTTTGTTACAAATTTGGGGGGAAAAAATTAAAGACTGGTTACAGTGACATGTATTTTCAGATATTCTCAATTTATTTTGATGTAGAGTGCTTTTGATATACAAAGGTAAACCTTGCCTCAAGCTGTTTATATAAAGATGATTTCCATTAGAATTTTGAGAAGGAACCTTAAAGGCCATCTAATTATGTGGTTTTCAAATAACAGGATCTTGAACCACTAGGCTACTAGGTGTATGAGAATCACCCAGGAGGCTTCTTACAGATTCCAGGCCCCTCCCAGACCTACGTTGCTTGTGGTGGCAACTATGGAATTTGTATTTTAAAAAAACTTCATAGTTTTATTGATATGTGTTAGGTTTGGGAAACATTGATTTAGTCTAACCACAAAATAAAAGAAAAAGTTCTGACATCTCGGATAAGTGATCCTCTACTTTGGGTACTTTGTCCATTCCACCATAGAAAAGCTCTATCAATTATTGGAAAGTTTTTCCTGAATTGAACCTGAAAACTGCTGCTTTCTAGTGGCTACTTACTTGTTCTAGTTCTCTCTGCTGGAGCAGTACAGAAAATACTCATTTTATATTTTAAATGATAGCCCTTTATCTACTTACAGTCAGGTGTTAAGCTGGCAAAGTCATCTCTCCTCCTGGTTGAATATCCTTTGTCCTTTAACCATTTTTCATTTGACAAGATTGTGCCTCTCAGTTTTCCTTTTTCTATGTATACTCTTTAATTTACTGTGTTTCTTAAATTGTGACATTTGAGTTGTGGTCATTAATGAGCAATAAAGTGCAACTGTTACCTCACTTTATCTTGACTTGATTATTTCATTAATATAGTCCTAAATTTAAAAAAATTTTTATGCTTTGGCAGCAGTGTCATGTTGTTGGCTTATACTGAACTTGTTTTTAAAACCTTCTTGTGTTTGTTTCTCTAATTTTAAGCAGTTTCCCTTATCCTAGGTGTACTTTTAAAAATTTTAACTTAGGTGCACTGTTTCATATTTATTCTTACTAAGTTTCAAATTGTTGATGCTGGCCCATTTTTCTGGCTTTAAATTATGATTGTTATGTAATGTATTGACTTTGTCCTTTTTGTACCATCTGTAGACTTGGTAAACAAATAAATCTATTTTGCCCATAGGTTTTGTTTCTTTTCCTTAAGTAAACAGTTTCTTAAAGTATATGTATACGGATCATAAGTGTACAACTCTATAAATTTTCACAAAATAACACTGTGTAACCACCACATTACTAGCACCTCCTTGTGTCCTCTTATAGTTACTACCATCTATCCCCTCCCCACAAAGAAACCATTATCCTAACATCACAGATTAGTTTTTCCTTGTTTTGAATTATATTTGTATATGGAATCATAAAGTGTGTACTGGCCTCCTTTGCTCATCATTTTCTTTGGTGTAAGATGCATCCATGGTACTTCATGTAGCCATAGTTAATTTAATTCTCATTTCCATGTATTATTCCATCATATGAATTCATTTATCCATTCTGCTGTTGATGGTCATTAGAGTCTTTTTTTGTGCTTGTCTTTTGTTGAACATACGTGTACATTACTGTTGAGTATACTCCTAGGGGTAGAATTCCTAGAACCTAGAATATGTGTATACTCAGGTTTAGCAGATACCACCAATTGTGTTACTTACCAAAGTTGTTATACCACGTTTACACCACTTTTTTTTTTTTTTTTTACCCCTTATAGCAGAGTATGAAAGTCCCAAGTTCCCCTGCATCTTTGCCAACCCTTGGTATTGTCTTTTTCATTTTGGTTATCCTGGTGAGTGTTGTCGTATCACATTGGGTTTTAATTTGCATTTCCTTGATAACTAATGAAATTCAGCAGCTTTTCATGTGCTTATTTCGCCATTAGATATACTTTCTTGGTTAAATGTCTGTTCAAATCTTTCACCTGTGTTCCATTGACTTCCTTTTTAAATTGTTAAGAGTTCTTTCTTTTGCAGGCTCTGTGTATTACACACACCTCCAGCTCTATTTGTGTTGACTTTTGATGAATAGAAGTTCTTAATTTTTAATGACCAAATTATCAAAAAAGTTTTTTTGCTTAGTCCTTTGAAAGAAATGTTTGCCTAACTGACAACAGGATTAATCTCCAAAATATATAAGCAGCTCATGCAGCTCAATATCAAAAAAACAAACAACTGAATCCAAAAATGGGCAGAATACCTAAATAGACATTTCTCCAAAGTAGACATACAGATTGCCAACAAACACATGAAAAGATGCTCAACATCACTAATCATTAGAGAAATGCAAATCAAAACCACAATGAGGTATCACCTCACACCGGTCAGAAAGGCCATCATCAAAAAATCTACAAACAATAAATGCTGGAGAGGGTGTGGAGAAAAGGGAACCCTCCTGCACTGTTGGTGGGAATGTAAGTTGATGCAGCCACTGTGGAGAACAGTATGGAGCTTCCTTAAAAAACTAAAAATAGAGCTACTGTATGACCCAGCAGTCCCACTACTGGGCATATACCCGGAGAAAACCATAATTCAAAAAGATACATGTATCACAGTGTTCATTGCAGCACTGTTTACAATAGCCAGGACATGGAAGCAACCTAAATGTCCATCGACAGATGAATGGATAAAGGTGTGGCACATATATAAAGTGGAGTATCCCTCAGCCATAAAAAGGAATGAAATTGAGTTATTTGTAATGAGGTGGATGGACCTAGAGTCTGTCATACAGAGTAAAGTAAGTCAGAAAGAGAAAAACAAATACTGTATGTTAACGTACATATATGGAGTCTAAAAAAGCGGTACTGATGAACCTAGTGGCAGGGGAGGAATAAAGATGCAGACTTAGAGAATGGACTTGAGGACCAGGGGGAAGGGGAGGCTGGGACGAAATGA